TTTTACTGAAGTCAGTGATGTGAGGTTTGACAAAGGTGAAAAAATATTCCCAATGGTGTGAATCACCAGTCCATGGAACTTTAAAGCTTCCTCCAGTCCCTAATGCCCATAAACAAAAGCCCATTTGACAAAGAAAGAGTGTGCTCTGTCACCACAGGAGATCTCACTCCTTGGGCCTCACTCCTGAGATCCTTCTTTGAACCGAGAGGTTCTATTATGACCCACATCTAACTTCTAATAAGGAGGGAAACTGAACAAAGTCAAAATGTGTGAAAACCAGGCAAGAAAATGCACTCACCTTACAACAGTTCTAAAGTAAGTAAAATTGGGTAGAGGTGAATTATTTTCTTGTCCACATGAGCTGATAAGAAGACACTAAAGACCAGTAACAATTACAAGCCCCCAGCAGCTAAAACTTCAGTAAGGAGAGCAAAAATAAACATAACAAGTAATGTATCAACTTCTTACGATTGATATAAAGTTAGATCCATGCATTATACAGCTCTGTATTGACATTCATGGGTTTGTCACTTATTTGCTTTGTGACAAGTCATTCACATTCTTAGAATCCATTTCCTCACTAGTAAAATGACTCTGAAATATGCCCTGCCTATCTCACAACGAGATAGAATGGATCAAGAGAAGAGATCATGCCTTGCTCACCTACTTATCTTAACATATGTGGTAAGACAGTTAAAGGCAAAATGAAATAAAACACTTAAAAGTGCTTTTTAAACTACTAAAAACTATACTATGTAAAGCATATTATTATAATGGAAACAGAAGGACTACAATATTCAAGAGCTACTTTTCAAAAATTATCTTTTAAAATGGGAAACCAAAAAGTCTGTTTACAATACATAGACCTCAAAAGGGAAATGCAGATTCTTAACTAAGAAAGAGAATTATTCCCCTTACTGATTGGGTGTCGGGTCCTAGGAACATACAGAGAAATAGGGTACATATAAGCATGGTAATTATCATACAACATGGTAACTGCTATTACAGAGACATAAAAACAAGTGGTGAGAGAACACAGAACACAGAGCAACCAATTTCCTAAGTAGGTTGAGGCTTAACTGAGGTAACAGCTAATTAGCAAAATTCTGGGGGAGGAAGACTTGGGGGCGGGGGCAAACAAAAAGCCATCAAAAGACCTGGAATGTCTGAGATGAAATAGAAAGTTTAGTGATGGAAGAGGAGACTAGAAAGGCGGGCTATCGCCAAATTGTGAAGAGCCTTGTTTCAATTTAATTCTAGAGGTAATATGATTAGTTTTATTTTATAGGAAGAAAATAGAAGATAAAGAAGATAAACTGGATGAGAGAAGACTGATGGAACAAGAGAAAAATGGTGTGAGCCTGAACTAAGCCCTGACCAAGAAGGACGGAAATAACAAATCACAGATAATAGACATCTGCAGAAACTGGTGGAGTAGAGAGATGGAGAAGGAGAAGGGCTCCAATAGATGCTCTGGTTATCAATTGTCGTCTCTCAGCTCCTCTTCATCCTTTGTGTTGCGGTGAACATGGATGGGGGCCCTTTAAATATTTTTCCTTTGCCAGCTGGCACACCGTTAAGGTTTGTCAGTAGAGGACATGGGAGAGATACTGTAGGAGGAAAGAGGTTTTGCTCCTGGTTCTAGCGTGCAGGCTTCTGTTCGCAACACCCAAAGTTTCTCCAGCATCTGGCTCCGCCTGGCTCCCGCAGTGCACAGTGGCCAGCAGTAGCCAGCAGCTTCCCATGGCACCACTCCTTCACTGGGCAGCTCTGTAGCAGCTTTTCCAGTAGGACACATCCCCATGAACAGCTTTCCCTGGTACCCTAGTGGGCAGATTTCCATCCAGTTCAGCCGCTGTGGCACCAGTGGCTTCTCTGCCATTCAGTGAGCCAAGGCCACGTCCTCTTCAACTGAATGTCAGGCCCTCAGCCTGAGGGTGGAGAACTCTTCCTGGGTTGCTCTGTCTCAGTCCTAGAGGATCAGCTGCTCCTTAAATCGACCAATCTTATGTAAATTTTAGAGTTTTCTTTACTTATTACTAGCCAATCCCTAGTTATTCTAATCCCCTACAAAAATAGGGTTTTTCAAATATTAAACTAAAAAATGATACTAATTTTTTATATTAAATTTTCACTGTTCAAATGACTATGTGGCTTCTTTATCCTGGTTGGACCCAGACTGAAAAAGAGGGGCTGAAACCACTATAAGATCAAATACACTGGAATTTGGGGTAGTAGCTCAGTTTTGGACATCTTGATTTTGAGTTTTCTGGAGCCTTTCTAGAGGAATATTTTAAGAAGCCACGGGATAAATTACTTTAAAACTTTAGAGAGATTTTATGGTTGAAGATATATTTGGGAGTTATCAGAATATAGATATACATAGATGTTAAGTAAAGATATAAAAATGGGGAACATAACCTGGGAGAATGCAAAATGAAAATTAGATTAAGGATAAATGCACAGTACACCCAATATTTAAGGGGTTGGCCAAAAAAAGTCCAGCAAAACAGAAAGAGAAAAAATCATCATTAAGGTAACATCACTCAATTTAAGAGTATTCTAAAAGTAGTGGATGTTCAGCAAGACCAAATGCTAAGGAAAAGTTGAAGAAGATGTGAATTTTTAAAAAGGCCTATATTTAGTACTAAGGAAATCAACAAAATATAGCAAAATAAGCCTGTAAAATGGTAAAAGTAGTAGCCAAACTATGATGGGATGTAGTGTGAATAAAAGTTTTGCAAGTACAATTATAAGTTCAGACTACTTTTTCAAGAAGTCTGAAAGCAAAGGGAAAATAAGTCAGTAGCTTGAAGGAAGTCATAGGAAGGAGTTTTGCTTGCATTGTGAAGTGGACGTTAAGAGGAGCAAGACTTGAGGAAAGCCTAGTCACCATGTAACAAAGGAGGGGAGAGTAGAGACAGGTAGGATGTTGAAGAGAACAAAATGTTTGTGAAGCAATAACGAGCACTCAGTGAAGACAAACAACAGGACTAATGAGGGGACATCAGAGGTTAAGAACACCAGTTCTCTATTTGAGACCATTACTCTTAAGCTCAACACTGGCTTTTAGAGTTTAGCTACTTTTCAAGCCCCAAAATTGCACTTCATTACTGACCTAGCAATTTCACTTGATGAAATAGTCAAAGATTTAGCAACACGGATAGTAAAAATGTTGCTCTTGATAGCAACCAAATATTGGAAACAATATCCAACAATGGAACGTCATACCATGAACACTTTAAAATCATTAAAAATATAGGAAATGTATGACATAACAAGTTCATGAAACTATTAAATGAACAAAGCAGAATCTAAATCAGCATATACAGCATAATCCAATTATTAATATATATAAAAGTACAAGTGAAAAAAAGATACCCAATATAAATACAAAAGGTTAACAGCATTATCTCTGCAGAACAGGATCACAGGCAAATTTTATTTCTTCCACCTACATAATATTTTCCAAAATTTCTAAAATAAACATAATTTTGCCATATGCAGCAATTTTGATCCATGTAGCATTTTCATTAGGAAAGCTCTTTTGGACTATAATTTTGGAGAAGGGTGTCACTACAGTAGAAAGACAATGGATTGCCTACAGAAAGAGGCAATAGGAATTGGGCAGATGGTATAAATGGAAAGCATAAAAATAACAAAGACTAACTTTTTGTCTAATTAAAATTTTATCCTAAGACCCACCCTATTCCCCACCCCCCCACTATCCTTTGCCATAGCCCCTGATATCAGGACTAAGAACATAAGCTATTTATGGGTTAAAGAGGCTTTTGAGAAACTTACCTACAGATTATGTTTTCTATGAAAACTGTATTCTGAGCTGCAAGCAACTATCTTATTAACGGACCATGTAAACACAAAGGATCCTAGGCTGGGAATTCCCTATATCCTAGACAACACTGATTTTATCATTCTCTGAAAACTGAAAGTACAAATTTCATAGCTCAGACATTTCACTTTCAGGTTCCTATATTCCAATCGTTCAATTACAGCGAAAGCTCCTACAAAGCAGTAGATGATAACTTCTTCCTAGACTATGCTCCCTGAGCCTTGGGAGGCAATTTTGGTCAGTCAACTGTGGGTTCTGGTCCTGTCGGAGGAACACAAAAGAGCATCTAAATGGTATCACAGGAGTAGTAATCTAAAATTGAACACCAAATATACTGCCACATGAAACTTTTGTATAAATTAAACGTTAAGCAATCAAAGTAACTTTTCTCTATGTACAATAAAGCCAGAATTAGAGATATCTTTAATCATAAAGGAGATTAAACTGAAGACAGAACTCTCCTTGTTCCAAATGTCTGAACACAGAAAGATATTTCAAACATGTCTACAACATACTAAATCAAAAAGGCTTTCTCAAAACCAGGGGGAAACGACCCCATTGCTGGGAGCCTCACGCCGAGGACCCACATCTCGATGTTGGTTTTGGGAAACCGATGACTGACAGACACAGACGTGTTTTTTGGTGAATGGAAGGCATTGATGGTGAGATGACTCGAACTGTCACCTGGAAGATACCAGTCGAAGTTAAATAGTGTGTTTTCTAAAATAAAAACAGAAAAAATATTTTTATTGTCAGGCTTTGAGATATGAAAAAAGTTAAACACGCTGTATATCAAAACTCTATATTAAAAATTGTGACAGGAAGGGGTCAGTGAAACACTTCCGACGGGGAGGAAAAGGGCGGCTGCTCGGTTAGAGAAAGTGCCGACGGCCCCAGGGTCGGAGGCCGGGAGGCACCTGCCAGAGCGCAGAGACTCGAGAAAGGGAACCGGCAAGCGCGTCTCAACAGTGACGCGCGGAAGCGCTCATCATGGGAAACCCCCGCCACCCACGCACAGCACAACCTCCCACGCAGGGGCAGCTCGCAGCCCGCCCACCGGAAGTGAAACTGGGGGAAACGCCACGTCGAAGGCGTGGGCTGACGTAAGCGCGCCGACGTAGACGCCGTCCTTCCGGCGATGGGCGGTCCTGGGCGGGAGCGGGGAGGCGGGGCGGAGGCGGGGCGTGGGGCTGGTGGAGGCTGTGGTGGGTAGGTGGGTTCAGACCGAGGGGACTACGGGTCGGCGTTGGGTTCACTGGGCTCGAACAAAGGACGATCCGGTAGAGACGCGGCGGGGCGCCTGCTGAGGGGTAGCTGAGCGGCCGGTGGAGGCTTCTCGGGCAGCCAGTGCCCCCGCCGCGTGGTCTCAGTGGGCTTCTCTTCGGTTCCCCGCAGCCAGCGCGGCGGGGGCGGCCCGGCCCAGCGGCACCTGCTGCCGAGGGACCCGCGCCCGCCAGGTGCTCGTGATGGGGCTCATCTTCGCTAAACTGTGGAGCCTCTTCTGTAACCAAGGTGAGGAGGACGGGGCTGCGCGACGGCTCGAATCCGAGCCAGAGGGCCTGGGCACCGAGGGGGCAGCCGGAGGCAGGGCTCTCCGTGGACACCGCCGTTCTGAGACGCGGAGGAGGGCTGTGTCCAGGGGGCGGGTGGAAACTGAGCATTTCAGGCTGGGAGAGGGTGCAGGAGAGGCGTGATGGGGGGGGGAAATGGGGAGTCTGGGAGGAGGCATTTGGTGTCCCGGGATCCAAACTAAGAATTTTTGGGTTTTAGCGAAGCAAAGCGGAGAGCACCTAGTGATACCCGGAGGCGTTTTGAGGGCCTTTTCCATCTCTGATCATCCTATGTCTCGCCCCAGGATAAGTGTCCGTCCAGAAACCTGTCAACTTTTTTTTTTTTTTTTAATTACTATTGCTGCTTTGTTTCCCCCCTGCTCTTGAAGTCAATGCGCCTTCACGTTCTCTCTGATTTCGCCTGCTCTCTAGGACTTGGGAATGAGTTGTCCTGTTGACATACACGGGTTTCCGGAAATCTTCATCCTAAACCCTTTATTGCTTTCTTAGACGTTAGAAAATTAAATGCTTTTGGTTCTGTGTAGGATATCGGGTATCCGTCATTAGTCTAGAACTGGTTATGGGACATCTAGAAGTTGCAAGTCCAAAGGGTCAGGAAGTTGTAAAACCTGTTCTGAGCCAGAGAATGAGAAGTGACTTCTCCTGAAGAAAGTACCCAGACAAAAAAGGGGCCGACAGTAGGTAAAGTTTGAAGCATTCTTTTCACAGAATGTTTTCTTAGTAATTGAAACTAGTTTTTAAATTCAGCTAATTTCATTTTGCGATTAATACCCGGACATAATACAATCCAGTGTTTTATGATGATACCAATTTATTACTGCTAGTGTGGTATCTTTTTTCTGAATTTAAGTCATGGAGAGAATGAAATGGCTTTAGTTCCCTTGTTCTGTAGATTGATAAGAACACTAAATAGTCTTTTTCAAGGTTATAAATAAGGTAGGTATATGCATTGACATAGACATATGTGTGTGTATATATGCAGTTAGCACAGATATCACTTTTCATGTGATTTCAGAGTGGCCAGAGTTTAACTCCTTATGGATATAATACATTATTTTTTCAGCAGTTTATGTTTTCTATTTCTTGTTACATAAATTCACTACTATGTAAAGCAGCGCTTTAAGACATGCTAAACAGTATAAAGATTAATACAATAATCACCTGCTTATCTTTTCCCATAGTTTAAGAAATAAAACATTACCAAAGTCATTGGTTCTCTTTGTGTGACTCATTCTGCTTTCTCCCCTCTCTGTTTTGTTCCTGCTGTTTATCATTTTTCGGGGGCTTCCTTAATCAGGCTAGAAGGGAATGTAGGATGTAGAGGGAAAATTCAGAAGATGATGAAATTCATGGGCTGCTTTTTTGTTCAGTCCTCCGAAATCCCCATTACTATTTACAATTTTTATTTTTCTTTCCCTTTCTGTTTCCTGTTGAAAGTTTAGAACTAGTGGTTATTCTGTAAATTTTTCTCATTCATTCATGCAACTACCATTTAGGCATAGGCCATAAGCCAGTCTTCAGAGTTAGGCATGGGAGACACAAAAATAGAGTAACTTGCTTTCATACTCAAAGATGAGTAATTGAGACAGACACAAAAAAATGCAGTGTGGTAAATTATTTAACAGATATGTATAAAAGTGTGGTAATGGTCACCAGGAAGGCAGTGATTAATTTTTGTCTGGTGATTCCTAGAAGACTTTACAGAAAAAGGCACACTTGGACTTTAATGATAAGTAGTTTATGGGGCATGTTATTCTAGGCAGAAGGACTAATAATATGCAACTAGGAAAGGAATGAAATAGTTTGGTACATTGAAGGAAGCTGAAAATAGTTTAGTTTGGTTTGCCTGTGGGGAGGTAGAGCAGATGAGGTTGGGGAGGTAGCCAGGGGAATCAGATCACAGAGGGTCTTGTATGTGGCCTAAGACATTCAACTCCATAGAGCAAGCCATGGGAGCTGTTGAAGAGTTTGGTTATTGTATGTTATTTTTAAAGCAGGGGAATAAATGTGATCAGATTGATACTTTAGTCTTGTGTTTTTACTTTTCTGTCAACAAAATTAACTGGCAATCTCAGCATTTTCTATTTTCACCACTGGGACACGTCAGAGACACTCAAATCACTCAGTCTTGGTTGCATATTAAAATAATACACCTTAGGCCCCACCTCAGACCAGTGAAATCAGAATGGGGTGAAGTGGCCTGGCATCAATGCCAAGATGATTCAGATGTGCAGCCAGAGTTGAGAACTGCTTTTATCTTACCTTAAATACTCCTTTCCCTTATCTTTCTTCCAGTGTTTGCCTCACACTCACCTTTTTTTCCTGTAGCATTTTAGAGCACCAAGCGTCTCATAAATTTGATACCTTTTTGGAAGTAAGTGTACTAAAGCATGTATTGTCTGAGTAAACCTATTGTAAAGTACATAATCTCTGCAATTTTGTATTGCTTAATTTTAAGCCAGAAGACTGATTGCTTTGCCTTACTTATCAATGAAGGAAATAATTTCAAAATCTGATTCTCTTTACAGACATTATTTTATATATCTGTGTGATGGTATATGTGTTTGTATAAAATATATATGTGTGTGTCTATGATGTCTTTAAACTCACCTCAAAAGTTGAGCATTCCTTTTTTAAAAAAACTGGTTTAAACTCCTTGAGGCATGAACTTTGTCTTACTCACCATTTTATCCCCAATACAAAAAATTTTTTGTTGAATTTTTTGTTTTGTTAAACATAAAATTTTATGTCAAAGTAACACATATACATTCTTTTTAAAAAGTTATATAGTGCTAAAGTCTTAAAATGATATATATATATTAGTCAAATCGCTTTAATCTCTTTTTTCCAGCATATACTTCCGTATTTCTACGTAATATGCATATGTGGAAATTTTAAACATTGTCATTTGTCTTTTTTTCAATTGAGTTATAATTGATATATAACTTTAGTTTCAGGTGTACTAATCATTTCTCTTATTATGATAGAAGAGAACTTTGTTCTTTTATGTCCCTCTTCCTTCATCATCCCAGTATAGTTTTTTGGTTCAGTCCACACTCTTGCCTTTTCTTTATTGTGACTATAAAAGTTTGTTACTGCTGAGCCACAGTGTGCTATAATTACGTTTCCCTTTTTTCTATAACATCCCCCCCCCCCCAGAGTAAATAATTACAACATCTCATTGCCTTAGTTTCTTTGTATGTTTGACTAAGTCATTTTGTGCTCTCTGTAAGCTCTCTGTACAGGTTTCTCCACTTCACACCTGTCAGATGACTTAACCTCCCCTGGCTCCCTCAGTATTCCATCCTGCTCCCAACTGGACTGGTTTCCCTCTGTGCCCAGTACACCCTGTTCTTAACTTGTCTTTGCTATCATTCAAGGAATTTCCTTTGCTTTTCTATTTTATTAGAATTTACGTCTTTCTTGCTTTACTCTTACTTTGATGAAGCACATCCTTCAGAAATTTTCTGCAAAGGTATATAGGGATCATTTTTTTGCAGTTCCACATGCCTGAAAATGTATTGGCCTGTCCTCATTTTTTATTTAAAATTGGACTGGGTGTAGAATTCTGAGTTGGAAAACATTTCTTTCAGAATTTTGAAGGTATTGTCATTGTTCTCCAGCTTCCAGTATGGTTGAGAAGACCAGTATCATTCTAATTATGATTTTTTTGCATGTGCCTTGTTATGTGTCTTTTTTGGTTCATAGTACTAGGTCCTCTGCCTTTTCAACATGAAGTTGCTCTTTTTTTGGTTATAGGAAATCTTTTTCTTTTTTTTTTTGTAATTTCTCTTGAGTTCTTCCTCTACTTTTCTGGAAATCTTATTTGTCATATTGTGCTAAACTGATGATCAAATATTCTTTCCATTTTACTGTCTTTTCTTTTTGAGTTCTACTTTCTGGGATATTTCTTTTGTCATCCAATCCTATTGAATATTTTGGTTCTGCTATCATATTTTTAATTTATAAAAACTTTTTATTTGCTAAATTTTAGGGGATTTTATTTTTCTTGTGGCGTTGTCTCATAATGCTGTGTCTTCTAAGTTTCTTTGAAATTTTCTTCTGCACTCTAATTTTTTGTTTCCATTTGTTTTTATATTAGCCTTCCACATTGGAAGCTTTCCCCATAGATCTGTCGTAAGTAATTCCATTGCATGAATATACCACAGTTTGTTTATGAATTCGCCTCTTGGTAGGTTGTGATACTATGAATCTCCTTAAGACTTTTTGTAGACATGTTTTCATTTCTTTTAGGTGAATATCTAGGAATGCAATTTTTAGGTTATAGAGTAGATATATGATTCGTTTTATAAGAAGCTGCTAGATTGTTTTCCCAAGTGGTTCTGCCATTTTATACTATCACCAGCAATCTTTGAGGCTTCTGCTTGTTCCTCGTCCTTACCAACGTTTGGTATTGCCAGTCTTTTTAATTTTAGCTATTCTGTGAGTTGTGTAGTCCTATCTCATTTTGGTTTTAATTTGCATTTCTCTGATGATTGTTGGGTGTTGAATACCTTTTCACGTGCTTGTTGGCCATTTATGTATCTTTCTTTGTGGAATGTTCAAATCCTTTGCCCATTTAAAACAATTTGTCTAAAATAATTATTATATATAATTATTTATATATTTTGGAATTGAGTCCTTTGTCAGATATATTTTTTGTGAATATTTTCCCCTAGTCTGTGGCTTCCCTCTTCCTTTTCTTAATGGAGATTTTTGCTGAGTGGAAATTTTTAACTTTGGTGAAGTGTAATTTCTCATTTTTTTTTTTTTTTAAATAACTGTTGCTTTCTGTATCCTGTTCCTTTCATCTAGAAGCCTTAGCTTTTATGCTTAGGTCTATGAGCCATCTCACATTATTTTGGGATTATGATGTGAGTAGGGGTTGGGATTCATTACTTTTTTTACATGAGCATCTGCTTGTTCCAGCATAATTTACTG